TCTGCCTCATTCAACACACAGAGCTTACAGAGAACAATCTTTAATTATATCTGTACAGTTAATTATATAAATACTTCTGTAGGCACTCTGATAAATCACATTCCATAGCACTTAGGGGTTCAATACAAAAGATTCAGTTTCCATTATATTACTTTACACTAAGTATATTGCTTTGTATTTCAGATAATCAAATATCATGCTTTTTATATAATAATAATATTAACGATAGTAGTTCTTATTTGTACTTATACAGCTCTTATTACGTGCCGTCGCTGCTTGCTACTCTGTTTTACATATTTTAACTTAATCCTCACAACACTAGACTATTATTATCCTTATTTATAGATGAAGAAACCGAGACAGAGAGAGTCAGTGTCTTGTCCTCGTTAGTGGCAGAGCTAGGATGTGGACCCAGGTAGTCTGCCTCTAGAGTCCATATTTTTGATTCACATATTCTTTGTTCCCAGAGCTCATTTTTAAGTTTCTTCAGGACAGGAACTGTGCCTCCTTCTACACCTATTTTTCTTGCTGAAGAAGGTCTAGCACAACGCCTTGTATTCGATAAATAGCTGTTAACTCACAGGCTGAGACCCAGAGGCAGAAGCTCTGTTGCAACCATTCCCTGGATGGCCATCAATTCACTATGACCTAAGCACTGTCTCTCAAGAGAATTCATTAAGATGTGTCTAAGAGACAAAAGAGATGGTACAGAATAGGAAGTCAGAGAAAGAGAGATCATCAACATCAATATGGGACAAAGGTTCCGTTCATTTCAGCCAACGGACACTGACTAACCCTCTCTCCCCTCTCCCCATATGCCTGGTGTTGAATTAAAGACATAAGTTTTGCCATCAAAATTTTACAACTTGGAGCAAAAGCTCTTGAGCAGAGGGTGGGAGTAGGGGCTGACTGAAAAGGCAGATTCCTAGGCCCAGACCCACAGGACACATTTTGAGAAACTCCTAGTAGAATGTGTAGGCTAGGTAGCAAGATGAGAAGAGAGCATTCCAGGCTGGGAGAACAGAACGAACTGAGATTCTGACAGGAAAGAGCATGTTGTGTCTGGAAGAGAATAAGGAAACACCCAGATGGGGCCAGGAGCGCTCAGGAGCACACCCTTCCCAGGGTCAGCTGCCCTCCAGGTGTTGGATGCAGTGCCCTCTGCAGATGGGTGTGCATGTGCAAACACTTCAGCCTTTGGACCACTCCCAGACCCAGGGTGACCACATGCTTTGCTTTGCCAGGACAGTCCTATTTCACTCCTGCTATTCCAGCATCCCTCTGCTTAGTGGTCCCTTTCATTCTCAAAAACATCCTGTCTGAAGTTGAAGCCGGGTACCTGAGGGTTACTATAAACATTCAATAAGAATATGATTACCCTTAGACCTTGTTTGCAACACAGACACAGATGAAAAGAAGTTAATCTTGTTAATTTGCTGTTTTCTTGTTTAACCCCAGGGGTGACTCAAGAGTCACAAGGATTTATGAGCTTGTTTTGCAGAAGAAAAAGAATGCCTTCAAGGAAGTTACGATCACCAGATAACCAGCCCCCACCTGCCATTGACGGCCAGAGGTCTGATTGCCCAAGGGCTTATCCAGAGTGAAAGAAACACAGACTTCCCCTTTGTTTCTCCAAAATGCTTCCTCCCAAGCCCCTTAGCTCTATAAAACCCCCTGCTTTCTTCTTTTCTTAAGGCAGATTTGAGAGAACCTATCCTCCTACCTTCTCATTTTGGCCAATTTGAATAAAACTTTCTCCATCTGCAAGCACTGGTGTCTCAGCGACTGGGTTATTGTGCATCGGGCACATGAACTTGAGATTAAGAGGTTCCATACCAGAGTGATAAATTATATGGTTACCCTACTCAAACCTCACTTCATGCAGCCTGACATTGTGGAATATTTTGCCTCCCTACTGTCCCCAAATCCCATTTTTCCCTCTTTGGTAGAAGAGGATTTAGAGCCTGAGTTACACACATTGGCTTAACTCCCTACTCCATCGGTGGACGCATAAGCTGTGTCTAGAGTCTACCTAGTAAAAAATTCCCTAATTAAAAAAAATATTGATCTGGCTTTATGAGTGGTCTTAATCACCAAATCAAATGGGTTACAGCTATGATTTGATAAAACACTCACATACAGTATTAAAAAGTGTCCATAAATTGACATAATCCAAATCGCAAAGTGGTTTGTATTCCACCAGAACCCTACTAAAATGAGAGGAAAATATGTGTTCATTGCTGTTTCAAAGACATGCATTACAACCTTTCCAGGTACTTAGAGGACCGTCAGGTACAGAGCACTGCTCTTACAGAATTAGAGTCTATGGTGTCAGACAAGTGACTCAATAAATACACTTTCTATCACCTTTTACATGGAAATTTAAATGCTTATTTACATCTGCTTTCGGATTTAAAGTTGAACAGATGTCTTGAGGCCCTTCTGAGAATCAAAATAGCTTATATAAATCATTCAGATCAAAACATTTTATGCCATCACTACCTTTCTCTTAATTCTATTGCCAATTCAAAATATTTATGTGGTTTTATTTCAGGTTTACGTAAAGTAAAGACTGAAGGGCACTGATCCCACCTGATGCATTTTCAATACTCAGATTGCTTTTTCTCCTGTAAATGTCTTTGCAGGAACTATACAAAAAGATTTTCTACAGAAACGAGGTTTACTGAATGGAAAGGATTCCTTTGATGAGCCATTTGGAAGATTTACAAAATCCTTTCAGAAAATTTGATAAGATATCAGAATTACTTCATCAAATTTGAATTTTGTTTAAATGGCAAGCTAAAGTTACAGCACACTGCACGGATGTTTACTTGGGGTTTTCTTTTCATTTATTTAAACTCAGCAAGTGGTTTAAATATGAGACCATATTTGCAAACTAACCTGTTTGTGACTAGAGCCATTTGGTAGACTTGATGAGGTGAAGCTGGGGCCCTACCATGTGCCAGACCTTGTGACAGCTACCAAAGGGGACAAAAGGCAATTTTAAAGAGATGCACAGGAGTGGCCTTTGAGACATTCCTTAAATGATCACAGGATTTTAACTAGAAGAAAAATGGGGTGGGAATGAAAAGAATTCTAGGCATGGAGAACAGCTGAGGCAAAGGCATGCGAGAAGAAAGTGTGAGAGGTGGAGGAACAAGTATGGGTTGGGTTGGATGATGAGGGACATAAAGTTACAGGAGATGTTGGAGCCTCTTCATGGCATAGAGTAAGTTTGTATCCTGTTTTGAAAGTTTCCAGGCAAATGAACGACATAATTAAATCTCTGCTTATAGATCTGAACTGGAATTGGGCAAGGTTGGAGGCAGAGACCAGTTAGGAAGGTATTGCAATTGTTCAAATTAAAAGTAAAAAGTAATAATAATAATGGGGTGTAAGCTAGGATAGCAGCAGTGGGAAGAGAAAAGAGTGATAGATTTTTAAAAATCAAAATTCAAATCCATAGGACTTGGTAACTGTTCATATGTAAGGAGCTGTGGGGAGTGGGCGTTCCAAGATAACTCAGAGTTTGAGCCTGGACAGTGGGAAGGTGGTGGAACCACTAAGATAAACAGAGGCCACCAATGGGATGAGTGACATTGAGCTTGGTCCTGGATATCTTGAGTGTGAGGTGCTGGGGGTAACCACAGGGAGAAGTATAAAGACCTGTATGTGTAACCTACGAAGTGTTCATGATTCTAAATAACATTTGCTGGATGAATGTAGGAAGGAGGGAAGGAAAGAGCTCTCCAGGAGGCAGCTGGTAATGCGGGCCTGCGCCTCAGGAGAGAGGGCCTGTGTGGAGGTTTCTGTGTGGAGTCACGACACAGAGGTGGCAAGTGAATGATGCACAGCAGGAAGAGAAGAGGGCTGAAGACAGGATCTCAGGCACAAGCAACCTTTAGGGCCCAAAAGACAAAGAGTCAGGTGGAAACAGTTAGAGGAGCAGAACCAAGAACCGAGGGAGCGCAGGGCTGCTGAAATCTAAGGAGGCAGGTGTCTCTAAATAAAGAGGACAGAGGTGAGACGACAGAAAGTCGCTCGAGTTGGCGTCTCAGGGTTCGTTATGTGAACTAATCATGTGCCGCCTTTTATGCCAAGAGCTTTGCCTGCCCTTCTCTTCACACCCGCCCTACGAGGTAGGCACTACTATTAGACTGCACTAGGAGGTCTTGATCTGCTAAGTGATTTCCCCAGTCACACAACTAGCGGGTGGAAGGGCAGGCCTCTAGACGAGCTAGGCCTCACCCCCAAACCCGTTACTCTCACACACTTGGCCGTGTGCTTCAGTGTGGGGGTGAGTGCATGGGAACCAGAAGGGAACAGGGGCCCACATTCACTTTGTGCTCTCTGCGGGTCTAGAACCGTGCTCGACGCCCCACGTGAACGCACGCTACAGATGCCGAAAGGACAGAGGGATGGCAGCTGGAGAGGAAAGCAGGGTGGCTGCTACCTCAGGGCGGGGCAGGGAGCCCCTGTGACTCTGCGTCCTGTGCTAGAACGTGGAAATAGTTTCACGAAACAGAGACCTGCATTAAAAGGAGCATCTTTAGGGCTGGCCCTGTGGCTTCGCGGTTAAGTGCGCGCGCTCCGCTGCTGGCGGCTCGGGTTCGGATCCCGGGCGCGCACCGAGGCACTGCTTCTCGGGCCATGCTGAGGCCGTGTCCCACATACAGCAACTAGAAGGACATGCAACTATGACGTACAACTATCTATCGGGGCTTTGGGGGCGGGGGGGGGAAAGGAGGAGGATTGGCAATAGATGTTAGCTCAGAGCTGGTCTTCCTCAGCAAAAAGAGGAGGATTAGCATGGATGTTAGCTCAGGGCTGATCTTCCTCACAAAAAAAAAAAAAAAAAAAAGGAGCATCTTTAAATTAGTGCTTTACCACTGCAACAGGATGTAGTTACTTGCTCTTTCCTTTCTTAATACATACAAACAGTGCTATTTTCTATACTTAATATATGTGTAAAAGTATTCATGCATTGGAATTGTACATACTTTTTTGGGTCCCTTGTCTTTTTCTGATGAGAGTATGATATTTCCTTTCAAAATGATAGTTGCACCAAGCTCTGGATCATGGGAAACAAAAGGAAAATTGGCCATGAGAACCTGCGAGCTAGAAAAGGGAAGAAACACCAATCATGGGTGAATTCTCTCAGTCATAGGGCAGGAGGTTTTTGTGAGGGGAAGAATATTCACTTTGCCCTTCTGAGGGAAAAGAGCATTTCTGCAGTGGCCTTCGTGGAACACACTCCGGCCATCCCCTGGGAATATGAGAAGGGCTCCTAACAGGGAGGCTGTCACATTTCTATGCCTCCGGTAGAAATACATCGCAGAGCCCAAGCTGGTTGCACATCTGGGTGGCTGTCTTCAGTCTAGTCATTGCCCCTTTGAACCGCTGTAAGCCTTGTGCATCCCTGAACGTCAAGCTAGGCCAGGAGGATTTTCTCCTTCTGTATCCAAAGAAGCACCCAGGGGAGGGAAGGCCAGACCTGTGCTAAAAGGCTTTAACATCAGGGGCACTGCCAAAGGTGGCTGTTGCTCAACCCTGGCCTTCAGCCTGTGAAGAAGCGTTTTGACGAATTTGGTGCAATTGTGTGCTGTTGCACATTCGGCAGAGCTTTCAGCAGAGACGGTTTTAAATGAGCTCTCCAAGTCAAAATAGTGGGAAGTTTGAAAAAAGGTTAGGTCATTAAAGCTATGTCCACCTATTGCCAAAACAAAGAGTAAAAATGAGAAAAATCGAATCCACTCACTGTTTGGATGACCTAACGCTCAGCTCAGGTCTGGAACTGGTCCCTCCACTCCCCGACACAACCCCACCCCAGGAAGAGGCATTTCTGTGAAATGCCCAAGGCTGAATCTCCACAGGAGCCCATGTTCCATGTCAACCCCTCCATTCTAATGGCACCAGGGTCTCTGAGGCTCCTTCCACGAGCAAATTCAAATGTCTGATTCAGACCTGACCTGGAGAAGCAGGCAACCATCAGCCACCGACATCACAGAACTGCATTACCAGGGTCGGACTGAATAGAGCTTCCCCCTCTGACCTGACCGCCCATAGTCGGTAGCATCAGGTGGTCAGTCAAAAGCAAGGGCAAAGTTTACACACCCAAGGACCGGTTTTCTCCCAGCCCTAGCACAAATGTACCTCTGTGGAGGCTGCGAGCTGGTAACCAGGATGGCTTGGCCTGAGACCACGGCAGCTGGGCTTTGCAGCTTTGACCTGCAGTCCTGGTGGTCATGAGCAGCGAGTGCACAAGCCCTCCTCTCCGGAATCTTCAAGCCTGGCACCGCATTTGATCAGAGGGCTAGTCTAGTCGCTTCAGCTCCTTTCCAGGGCAGGAAACAGAGGCAGCCCAGGTCTGGGACAGGACTCTGACACATCCCACACCCAGAAAGGGTCTGGGGTAGCCACTTATCCTGAGGCACCCCCATGCTAACTGTCCTGCTCAGGGGCCAGTGAGGTCCATCCCCAAACCCTGCTGCCCTCTCCAAATGAGGCCAGCCATGCCAGACTCTTGGGGAAAGCTCTCAGCACCTGTACCACCTCCAGTATCAGGCACGGCAGGGAATCTTTCAGAGGGCCTCAGGCACTTATATTGTTTGTTGAACTATTAATTTGAACTACATGAAATTACCATTTTTTGTAGATCAAACATGGTCAAAAATGTAATGTGTTTATCCTCATAGTAAAAACTGTGAGAAAAGTGTAGGGTATGTGGTCAGAAAGAGCACAGTTATGAGAGCCAGACTTGGGTTCAAATCTCAGTTCTGTCACTTTCATTCAACAACCACGTATGAATTCCTGCTCTGTGCCTGGTACTGTTCTAAGAACTGGACATGTCGTGCAACGGGGACAGGTGGGCCCTGCTCTCCATGGCAACTTCTAATGGATGCTTATTTTCCAGGCCGCTTCTTAGCTAGATGATGCTGGGCCAGTCACTTTTCTCTCTGAACGTCAGCTAAGTGTTATGAGGGTTAAACGAGATCATGCACCTTAGGCCAGAAATGCATTGGTGGCCTTCAATAAATGATAGTTCCGTTATTTTACTGTGGCTCATAGAGGACTCCTAATAAATATTTGTTGAATGAAAGAGCTTTGAAATGTATTGTGGGAATCTTCAAGCCCACCCCCTCAGAGCCCAAGCTAGACGCCCCTACAGGAGAATGGTGCACGTGGGGCAGGGGCCACTGTAAGGGAAGCCCATGAATCCCAGAGACCACCACTCCCCACCCTCCCTGGGATGTGGAAGAGACCACCTGTGGTCAGCTCCCATTAAGTCAGGAGGGCTGCAGGCTAAGGAGGAGTTCAGGGAGGTACAATCTGGTTCATCGTTCTTAATGGATGTGAAATCATTTAATCCAAAGAAAATAACTGTCAAATTTATTGATTGAGGCAAAGCAGAGGTTGAGACATCAAAGGAGACCCGGAAGTTACCTGCAGGAACTTCTGGTGTTAGAAATCAAACACAGATTGGGCTTTGGTTAGTAAGATGACTTGCAAATTGACTAGTCCTTCCCCCCACTTTCCACCCAATTGAGTCACTGGCGTGAATACAGACATGGAGTTACAGATGCCTTTTGCAGCCAGGGGCCTATTTTCCAGGCTCTGTGTGCAAACAGGCCATCTGCATATTTCACAGGTCACCTGCATACCATTTAAAGCTGCATAAATCACGCTGGACAAGGTATTAATAAAAGTACAAAGTCGCTATCTAGCAGTACAGCTCATGAGGGTACCTTCACTGTCATCACGGTCCTGAGCTCTGTCCAGCTCTCTGTGTCCATTCATTGCAGGTGATGCACAGGGAGCTGAGACCAACAATTGCACTAGCTTTTTCTCATACACTTCCCTGGTAGAAGCTGAGGAAGAATGTGGAGAATAGATGAAGTTGCTCTGTTTGTGTGCGTGATCTCACTGGGTTCAAGGTATTTCAAAGCTCAGATCCTTATTCTTGTGCCTTACATTATTGGTTAATTACGGCTTTTACAACGAGGGGAACCCACCACTACTTAACTCCTTTCCTTCCACAAACACTTAGGTGAGGCCTCTATAGATTGCCAAGGAGTCAGGCACTGGATACACCTGAGAACAAGGCTGACAAAGCTGTACATCCTATCGAGGGGGAATATGCACCATAAATACATAAATAGTTAACAGAGTGCACACACTAGAAACGAAAAAAAAAAAAAAAACCCAGGGTGATATAATCAAGAGTAACTAGTTTTTCACTATTGAAAAAAACCAATTCTTTCTCTCTGGCACCCTACTTACTAATCTGTAAGTAGGATCTGGGTTTTACATCGTCTCTTCCCTCTGTATGGTTTTCTGTTTTTCTTATTTTCCTATTTTTATTTTAATGGTTTGTATTGCATATGTTCCTTCCCAAGGACTTTAAATCTCTGGAGGTAGTTTATAAGTAATAAATGACTAGTCTCCAATATTAGATGTGTACATACGTAGTATTGGACCAGGTGAAAATCCAAGCTTATCAAGTTCATTCTGTAATTCATAGTCCCTCAGACATTTCACATCCACCATGGTGACAGATGTTTGGTCTCTTTTCCGACAGTGGAATCTTTGAAACAGTAAAACATTAAATTCATTAAGACAGCCTTAAGAATAAGAACTAAAACTTCACCAGTCCACAAAAGTGTTCACAATCCCAACTCCCCAGTTTTGGAGGTACACAGGCAATAAAGTAAAAATCAGCATTTTCTGCTGTTTTCTGCGATAAATCTCCGAATTTAGTTGCCTTGATGCAAAGCTTCGGATGGGTGTCACTTTCCCCAGTGTCCTTGGGATTCAATTATTTCTAACTTTTCTAAGCAACTAATATGAGAAAAATCTTCTGCACAAAATGAACAAATATTTCCATTACTGCTTAGGAACTCTGAGCAAGACTCAAGCTCTGAGAAGATAAGAAGTTAATTAAATATGAAAGAGCAGAGAGAGATTTTTTAGTGAGTTAAATAAAAGTTATTTATCTCTGCCCTCCTTTTGATGAGAGTACAGAGAATACGGAGCACTCAGTTATTGCAAACAGTGGTAGTTTTCACACTTGTGTTTAACTCTGAACATAACGAGATGGTAGTTTTTAATTAACCACCAGCAGACTTTGTAATCGCTGAATTGGCATTTGAAAAAAGTCAGCTATTCATTCTCTGGCACACAAATTGATTTATGTAGATTTCCACAAGTCTTGATACGGCTTTCCAAACCTGCACAGCCTCAAGTTCAAACAGGTTCACTCAGTTGATCCCTTTATCCCCCAAAACTGACCCCTCTACCTATTTACCTAAATCCTGAAAAAGACAGACCCATTTGTCAAATCTTTTAACAGAGATTTTTAATTTAGGAGTTTATTTATTGTCCCTCATTTCTATCATGTTTCCAGGCTTTTTAATATCACAGTGAAAACGACTCCAAGACAATTACCCAGCATAGGAGGATCTGGACCAATTTTAAGTAATGACTTTGCCTTTATTGGTGATCAATCAATGCCCAATTAGGAAGAACATTGTATACAAGCTAGAAGAAGCTGTGAATTGTCACATATAACAGGGTTGTTCGAGAACACCTAGCTTAACAGTTCTCCCCACTTTTTTTTTTTAATGAGGAAGATCAGATGCCTGAGCTAACATCTGATGCCAATCCTCCTCTTTTTTCTGAGGAAGATTGGCCCTGAGCTAACATCTGTGCCCATCTTCCTCTACTTTACATGGGATGCTGCCACAGCATGGCTCGACAAGCAGTGCGGCGGTGTGAGCCCGGGATGCGAACCACGAACCCAGCCACCGAAGCGGAACACGCGAACTTAACCGATACATCACTGGGCCGGCCCCTCAGAGTTCTCCACTTTAAAGCTATACTTCGACTGGAGGCATGTTCTGGCACACAGTAGGTGCTTAGTGAATGTAAGTTTCCTTTTTTTCTACGTGCTTGGGAACCTGAACACTTTTAGGCCACTGGTAAACAACCTAATGTTAGGAAGGAAAAGGACAATACACGTCAGACTTTTTCCCCTCATTGGAAGCCAGCTTCGGCAGATCCTGTGACATTTCTTCCTGAGAAGAGCTGTCTGTTTCACCACCTTCCAAAAAATAATCTCCAAAAGAGCCCTCATCAATTTCAAGCGACACTAGACAATTGCCTAGAGGGAACCAACATATGGAAGAAAAATATTCAAATTGAATCCAAATGGATGATTAATCCACTTACCCCTTTACATGGTTGTCTAAAGTCTATGCACTTGGGTTGGTTACTAAAGCTGGGTGAGTTTCACCCAAGAGTTTCCACTAGCAACGGATCCCTTTCTCCTGTTAGATAATATGGTAATCATAATACCTACAGTGTGACATCAGTAACCCCCATGGAAACAGACTGATGTGAAAGTCAGATGATTAATTTAACCTAAGTTCAAACAGAAGGATGCACTGGTCGACTTCATAGGCAGACAGCCATCATAAAATGTCAAGAGATGCAGAGAAGTTATCATTATGTGCAGGAAGTGGGGAGAAGGAGCTGCTACCAAACTGAATGGTGCCAAGAAACTGGGAAGATAAAAGAGAAATCAAACAAACTCAAGTGTCTAGGCCATAATCAAAAGATCCACGGTGGTGGAAGGGTAATTTGGTCATAAACTCTAGCGAAAATGAGCAAGTGGAAGACACCTATATTAACTTGTTAAGGAATTGCTCTTTTAAGAATAAGAATCAGAATAGAGTACAGATAAATAATAACACAGTAGGGGCCGGCCCGGTGGCACAAGCGGTTAGGTATGCGCGCTCCGCTGCGGCAGCCCAGGGTTCGTCGGTTTGGATCCCAGGTGTGCACCAATACACTGCTTGTCGAGCCATGCTGTGGCGGCGTCCCATATAAAAAAAAGTAGAGGAAGATGGGCATGGATGTTAGCTCAGGGCCAGTCTTCCTCAGCAAAAAGAAGAGGATTGGCATCAGATGTTAGCTCATGGCTGATCTTCCTCACAAAAAGATAAATAAATAATAATAATAATACAGTAGTCCCCCCTTATCCATGGGAGATGCGTTCCAAGACTCCCAGCGGATGCCTGAAACCACACATAGTACCAAACTCTATATATACTATGTTTTTTCCTATCAGTACATATCTATGACAAAGTTTACTTTATAAATGAGGCACAGTAAGAGATTAACAATAACTAATAATAGAACAACTATAACGATATACTGTAGTAAAAGTTACTATAGATCTTAGCAACCTCAGCATATGATTTTTTTTCTTTCCTTATTAAGCTGACAACTTTCACCTTTTCACATAAAGGAAGCACTTTACGGCTTCTCTTTGGAATATCTGAATTGCCAACATCACTACTCTTGAGCTTTGGGGCCATTATTTCATAAAATAAGTGTCATTTGAACACAATCACTGCAAAACGTCAACAGCCGATCTGATAACCAAGACAGCTACCAAGTGACTAACAGGCAGGTAGCATATACAGTGTGGATCCACTGGACAAAGGGATGATTCATGTCCCAAGCAGGATGGAGCTGGACTGCGTGAGATTTCATCATGCTACTCAGAACCACACACAATTTAAAACTTATAAAATTGTTTATTTCTGGAATTTTCCATTTAATATATTTAGACTGTGGTTGACCTCGGGTAACTGAAATCAAGGAAAGCAAAACCACGGATAAGGGGAGACTATTGTACATTGCAGAATCTTGATGGTTTCAGCCTTTTCAAAGCACCTTAATCTGTTAACAAACAAAAACTCAGGGCCAGCCCCGTGGCTTAGCGGTTAAGTGTGCGTACTCCGCTACTGGTGGCCCGGGTTCGGATCCCAGGC